CCATCATCGAGTAGATGAGAGCAGAATAGACGTTGAGATGGAGCGCGGGTGGAGTGGACTGAAGGTTGACCGCGAACAGGTCGACTGCAGCTGGGCGCAGGATACGGTTGGAGTCGGTTGCAACCAGGGCAGAGCTTGGGGTCGGCGTAGAGATGGCATATAGACAATCGTCAGTTCTTGCACTAAAAGCCGAACAGGAGGGTTGCGTGTGCCATCGTGCTGGAGTAGAGTAGACACGGGTGCACTGCGGCATGTGATGTGGCAAAATACAATGATGGCTATGTGTGTACATGTGCGCACAAATTTACAAGCGTATCTACATTAATTGTTACTCATCGAATCGGTAAGGTGGTCGCGCGGATCGCGCGGTGCCGAGTTGGGCGCGCTCCACCGTGGCAGAGCGAAGTGGTTACTTGCATGCGCGTGCGCATACATAGACGTATTTCACGCGTACAGATCGGCGGGCCACATGCGCGCGTAGCAGAGCAGGGCTAGGAGAATGCGGCGGGCTCCAATCGTCGCCGGCACCGTCGGGGCCCCCAGATGGCAGACACGCGTCGTCGTCAGCACACAAGTAGTTCTTTGGACAGGACACCCGGAGTGAGTCTCCGACGTGCCTTGGCAGTTGACAAAATATTCATGCGCAGGAAGGCGCGGCCGCCGACGACGCAAAATTTTCCATTGAAGGATTTCACGCGCAATGCGCGCGCAGCACGCAACAACAATACACCCCGCATATTTCAAATATCAAACACTACTCGCCGACGACTTCCGATATTGTCCGAAGACCTCAGGAATGGTAGTGCAGATTTCCCGCGCTCAGAAAATATGTCAAACATAGGCCAAACCTACCCAAATAGAATTCTAAGACATTATGTTGTCATATGTGCATTTTCAAAATACTCGAAAGATTTGCCAGTGTCAGTAGCGACCTTTCAAAACACTCCGATGACACTCTAGTGCAATTTGCAGATTTTCTAGTTACGCCGAAAATGCTCCAGTGCCATCTGCGATTTGTTCTGTTTCAAAGGCATCCCAGTGCAACCTGTGATGTTGTAAAATACTATACAGATACGCCCGTGCCATTTGCGAAAGTCCAACATAAACCAGATAATACTCCAGGATTTGCCCTATCCAGCATTTTCGAGACATCGAAACTCTCCAGGACGTAGTTCGTGACCATATTCGTGAATCCAGAATCCTCTAGGAGATGCCCCCACGTGTTCTCCGGGGAACACTGCCTTGATTGAGGTGGACGTGGTGGTCTTTCTTCGGGAACGCGAACATCTCGTAGCAATGCCCTCCCCTTTCGCCTGATATCGCGCCGCTGCGGCATCCCCACGTACTGGGCTCGCTGGCAAGTTCAAGCGCTCTGCGTCACGGATGCCAAATGCGCGACGCGCATTGTTGATGCCGTACCCTCGTGGGCTGAACAGTGCGCCGCCATGTTGCCAAGCGCATTTCGTTCCGCGCCAGAGCAGCGCCGCGGCTTTATTCAGCGCGCCCTATCCCGCTGGGGAGCTGGCTCTTCGGGCGCGACCATCAAACGCGCGATATGTGTTACGCGCGTTGCGCGGACTCCAGAACGAAAGTGGCCAATGTTGGTTACGACCGTTTATTGATTCAGTTCTCCCGCGCACCCGCCCGTGTTTTAATCGCGTTTGTGTTGGCATGCGTTTGCGAATGGGGACGTGGGGGAGGAGGTTGTTGAGGAGGATGGCTGGGCGATCGGTCGATCGGCAGGTGGATCGATCGACGAATCGATCAGCAAAAAAAAAATATCCTCGCGGATTTCCGCCAGCCCGCACCCCCCCCGCGCAGCCTCGTTCGCCATGCGCGCGCGTTGCGATAAGTGCTTGCCCTTGAATTGTCTACACGTTTGGATGTGTTGTTTTCTGTTGGCTCCCCTCGCGTGCCCCACGGGCACATGTTGCGTTTGTCGCTTGTCCTTGAGGCGATCCCAGTGGCAATGAGCCGCTTGGAGTCGGCTGAGTGCGAAAAAAAGGGGGGGGTCGCCTTCGAATGAACGCGAATCCATTGAATGTGTAGCGAGTCCTTTTTGCATCGAGCTACAGGAGGCCATTTTTTAAGCAGCGTTGAAGCAGGCGTTTTTTTTTACCTGGCGCGCAGCAGTCTGTGCATGCTACGCGCGCCGAAACACGCAAGGTGGAAACCGCGAAAACGAGACAATCCCAGCAGGAACCCGTGCTTTCCCGAAGTACTGTTGGAGCGTTTTCCCAGAATGTACTTTATCTTACTTCGTTTGAACATCAAATCTCTCACACATCGCCTGTAGGAAAACATCATGCCCCACATAATCATTCTGGTAAGCCGCCTGCTCGCACGCCACCTCCTCCTCCTCCTCCTCGTCCTCTTTCTCCTTCTCCCATGCACGATCCCCTTACCGAGTCCGCAAAACGTGACTTTTTGATGTTCTCGTCGGCTATGACACGCGTCCGCGGAACGATAGCAAGTTGCGCAATGGGAGAATCTGGGAAAGGTCGGATGTCAGCTATAGCGCCTTCGCGCCTACATTGTGTCCTTCGCTGTTCGTCCTCCGTGTCCTCCTCCTTTTTCGAAGTCCTACCATATTTTTTCTGACTTCCGCCAGCCATGTGTTCAATCCGCCTCCCTTGCGGGTCCCGACCATCCGGGGTGGCAGGTGTGTTTGAACCGGACCCATTTGCGATGGTCCCCGGGGCCCGAGAACGAGCCTTCAGAGGCCGACGTCGAGTGGACACTGCTCGCGAAATTCCCACCCGCAAGCGCGAGGCGTGACACCCAGGGAGCACCAGCACATTTTGAGCCTGGCGGCCGCGGCACGCAGTCGCCATTTGTCCACGGCACGAGACGGGGTACCCAGGGAGCACGGACACGCAGGACGTGCGACGCGGTCCAGGAGTTTCTTTTGGATAGTTTCGCAGCCCCGACTCGTCAGGCGGGGAAAAAGGATGCCGCTGCCGCTGCTCGTCCCAGAGAGGACTCGTCGACACTGCTGGGTCCTATTTCGAATTCTGGAAAGGATGCATTTGGAAGAGGTCTGAGGAGTGGCGGTATCGGTACCTCTCTGCCCGCCCAGCGACGACGACGCGCCCACGACGGCGAAAACCACGACGACGACGACGACGGCGAAGCGTCGGAGATCTGGTTTCTCCCTCCTCTTCCCTTCTCCTCGACCCTTCTCCTCTCCACTCCTCCTCCCTCATCCTCCCTCCCTTCTCCTCCCCCTGCTCCCTCCTCCTGCACCGTCGGTTCTCCCTCCTCCTCCCTCCTCCTCGCCTTCCTCTTGGGGCAGCCGCGTAAGCGAGAGCAGCGCCCTGTCCGAAGTCTTTGCATAGGTAGTTCCCTTGGGAACTCTCTGCTCAGCACCCTCCCTCCCCAACCCAGAACTCAGAGGAGGAACCTCCCCCTTTTCCTTTTCCTCCTCCTCCTCCTCCTCTCTTCCTCCTCCTCCCCCTCCTCCCCCTCCTCCTCCTCCTCCTCCTCCCAGGCAGCTGAGAAAGTTTATACTCTTCGCAGGGTCATAAACTTTGCAGCCGCCAGGAGGGCAGGCGTCCCCGACGGCGGAACGGTTCATTTCACAGTGTTCGCCGCACCCTCATATACAGTGGAAGCCCGCACCAAGAAACATCCTGCTTGCCTCCAGGGTGCCCTTGGTTTCTTGGGTTTCGATGGTTTTGCAATGGAAAGCGTGACGCTCCCACACCAAAAATCCATGGACGTCCTGGGATCTCAGGGTTGGGCTTCTTGTGGAAGGTCTCTTGTTGGTCGAGTTCCTACTGTACGGGTTGACTGCATGTCGTGGGATGCCCAAACATGGACAGCCTCCGTCCACGCGCTAACGGCGATGCTGGTAACGGCGATGTCTGTTTCGGTATGGCGGGAACGTGCGGCTCGTGTTTTCCTAAAATTCCGGGGCATCCGCGGATCGGAAATGTAGGAAGATGCGGTTCGTGATTCCTTACAGTTCGGTTTCCAACATCACCGTGAAGCAACATCGCCGTTAGCGTGGCCTTGGATCATGCACTCGGACCTCCGGCCCCCCCAAAGCGACCGCCCTTTCCTGGCGCTTCTGCGCCGGCACGTCCACGAATGGCGGCGACGTCGGGCCTCCGGCCCCCCCAGAGCGACCGCTCTTCCCTGGCCCTGTGGGAAAAAAACATAGAAAAACACACACACACACAAAACACACACACACAGAAACACACACACACAAAAACCCACAAACTGTTTTGTGGGGAAAAACATACAAAAACACACACACAAAAACTCTTCGTGGGAAAAAACACAAACTCTTTGCCGTCGTCCACGGCTGGCGGCGACGTCGGGTCCGGCCCCCTCAGAGCGACCGCCCTTTCCTGGCCCCTCGTCGCCGGCGCCAACGGCTGGTGACGACGTTTGTCCCGGCCCCGCCAGAGCGACCGCCCTTTTCTGGCCCTTTTTCGCCGGCGCGTCCACGGCCGGCGACGACGTCGAAGCCTATAGGGGGGGCTAGCAGCACAGTAACTCATGCCCGAGTACATCAGCACAGTAGTCCATACCCATGTTGTGAATTTCGCCCATGGATACTGACACACGTGGATCACGTGATGGTTGCCGTGGTACCCCCGAGTTCTGCGTTGCCAGGCGATGTGGGTACATCCTCCTCCTGCCCTTCCCCCTCTTCCTCTTTTCCTCCTCTTCCTCCTCCTTTACCGCCTGGTATTCTCCCTCCTGCCCCTGCCCCTCCCCATTCATTATCCTCCTCCGTGTCCTTCTCCTTTTCTTCCTGCCGTGATCCCCTTTCATCCTCCTCTGCCTTCTGGTCCGAGGAGTAGCGGTGCCGATATTTTCTGGTTTCCCCAGCCGAGGGAAGGTGATCCCAATCTCGGCGATGGCGGTTGCATTCGGGCTCCAAGGTTGCCGAAATACCACCACCATCACCAACATCAACGACCCTGGTGTTGGTGTCGGTGCCTATTTCCAAGCCTCCCATCATGGACTCCCATCCCCCCCCTGAGGCCGTGGACCAGGCGAGCGTGGAGGGGATCAGGCGCGCCCCAGGGCCTCGGGGATCCCGCGCGCGAGGTCCTCCTCCCTCCTCCCTCTTCCCTCCTCCCTCCTCCCTCCTCCCCCCTCCTCCTCCTCCTCCTCTCCTCCTCCTCCCTCCTCCCTCCTCCCTCCTCCCTCCTCCCTCCTCCCTCCTACCTCCTCCTCCCTCCTCCCTCCTCCCTCCTCCGTCCTCCCTCCTCGGGGCACCCAAAAAGTGGTGGTGACCACGGGGCAGGGGGGGGGGATGTCATGGCCGTGGCCACGATGTCTCCGCAGATGTCATAGCCCCTCCTCCTGCTTCGAACACGATGCATTCCCTGGATCCCGACCGCCCTGGGGTTTCGGGGATTCCGCGGGGTCCTTCCCCGCTCGTCGGCGGCGGCCAGGAGTCGGCGCCCAGCCCCTGGGCGGGCCTTCGCCCGAGGGCAGAGAGGGCGTCTCAGCAGAAGGCCCGGCGGGCTCTGAGAAGCCCCGCCGCAATCCGAGAGTGGCTGCTCGGTCTCACCTCCCCCCTTGCTCGCCGCCGACAGAGGGGGTCTGATGGCCAGGGGAGGCGTAGATGTCATGGCCAGGGTCATGACATCTCCCCAGGGTTCGTGGCCTCTCTTCTTGCTTCGATGCGTTGGCTGGTGTTGCCTGGTCCGCGCACATGCCTCGGGCCACGATCTGCACACACACACACCCCTCTTGGATGTCCCCCTCTTGGACGCCCCCGGCGCCGTCGGGGCTGGCCAAGAAGGGGGGGATGAATACCCAGGGGATCGACACGATCGAAATTGGTACGGAAAGCATGGGTACAAAGACCGACGGCATTTCCTGCCCATTTTGAACCGGGTTCGTTGTCGGCGTCGCCGCGGACGTTGTCCATTTGAGACCGAACCCCGCCTGCCCAACAACGGGCGTTGTTGTTGGGAGGTCTGGATATCATGGCGGGTCCGATGATATATCCCAGATATTATGGCCCCTTCTCTTTCAGGACACCCCCTAGTCCCCCCCTGGGCCGCGCACGTGCCTCTGGCCATGGAGGAGGAGGAGGAGGAGGAGGAGGAGGAGGAGGAGGAGGAGGGGCCCAAGAGGGCCGCGCCGCGCACCCCTCTTGGGCGCCCCCCTCTTGGAGGCCCCCGAGCCTTCATTCAGCTCTCTCAGATGGGGTCAGAGTAGATGGGTTCGGAGGATCTTGTGGCATCGTCGATGCATCCGCGATACGGTTCAGTATGGAGCCTGATCTTTTCCACGCCGACGGCGCCGATGCATCGCCGATGCATCGGCGATGCATCGACGATGCGTCGCGATCTTGTGACCCCATCTACGCGGACCCCCTCTGGGAGGCCTCCACTTCTCGCGTCTCTCAAAGCGTGAATTACCTGCCCCGCTATCGCTTCCAGGCAAAACCCAGCCATACCACGCGCCTCCTCGCGTCAAGCGGCCTGACCAGTACAGGCCGTGGTTTGGCATCGCTTGGTATCTTTGGGAAGCGAGGGTGGTCAAAAGCGAGGTAGGTTTGTTTTGCCCCTTATCCTCCGCGTCTTCGGACGCCTTCGTCGTCTCCTGCCAGGTTTTTTTTTGCCTCGACTTGTGCTCGGGCGGCAGCGCCCCGCCGTGAGCGCGTGCCGGGTCGCCGCCCGGATATCGTGCCGACTGGCCGCTGGAGGGCCGAGGGATGGCCCGAAGCTCCGAGTGACCTCTCGGAGTCCATTTCTCCATCCGTTCGGTCCGTCGCAGCATCCTGCTCGTACTCCTCCCCCTCCTCCTCCTCCTCCTCCTCCTCCTCCTCCTCCTCCTCCCCCTCCTCCTCCTCCCCCTCCTTAGAGGAAAGAGAACTATGCACATGCACCGACCCTGACAACGCCCATCCTTGACCCAGGATCGGTGCATATACCTTCCTGGCCAAGGCAAGAGGGCGTATGCACCGATCCTGGGCTCAGGATGGTCCTGGCCAGAATCGGTGTATGTGCATAGTTCTCTTTCCTCTACCTCCTCCCCCTCCTTCTCCTCCCCTGAGATCCTGGCGTCACACATGTTTTTTCGCACCGTACAGTCGGGGCCCTGAAGAAGGAACGCTTTTCGTTGGGGAGGGGCTCCGCGTTCCTGAAAAGTTTCGCAGCGTGCCTCAGGTTTTCGTGATGTTTTCGATCGGAAATCGAAGCTTAACTTATGGGAAAAAAAGGACCTCGTTCGTTATTTTGGGTGCCTTAGGTCAAGGCCCCGACGGTACTCCTGCTCGTTAACATGTGTCACGTGTGCGGAGCTAGACTGCCAGTGCCGCGCTTTCCTGTGGCTTTGCTGCGCTCCTGCTCGCAACGCGCACCGCCGGAGGCGGCGGAGAGCCCGAGAGGTCCACCTGCCAACAAAGCAATCGGCGTACAGTCGGGTCGCTGAAGAAGGAACACTTTTCGTTGGGGAGGGGCTCCGCGTATTTTAAAAGTGTGCCGATTGGAAATCGAAGTTGAGCTTATGGAGAAAAGGGGCCTCCTTCCTTATTTAGGCCTCACCGCACCGCAGGCCTGAAACTTTAGCAGGTCCGTGGGGATCTCTTGGGTCAACGACCCCAAGGTCAACGACCTTGGGGTCTTATTAGGCCTTATTAGGCCTCCTTTCTTAGGTCAACGACCCCACCGCAGGCCTGAAACTTCAGCAGGTCCGTGGGGATCTCTTGGGCCAGCGCTGGGCCCCCCTCGCGCAGCGCGCCGGGGGCGGCGCCAGAGGCGGTGGGCCTGTTTTCCACCACCACCACCACCACTATGTGTAGGAGGGGAAGGGGGGCCCCCTCCTCCTCCTCCTCCTCCTCCTCCTCCTCCTCCTCCTCCTCCTCCTCCTCCTCCTCCTCCTCTCCTCCTCCTCCTCCATCTCCATCTCCTCCTCCTCCCCCTCCACCTGCTCCTCCTCCTGCCCCTCCTCCTACTCCTCCTCGTCCCCCTCCTCCTCCTCCTCCTCCTCCTCCTTTCCCCCTTCCAGCTTATGGTGGTGGTGGTGGTGGAAAACAGACAGGCCCATCAAGAGGCACCGCCAGAGGAGAGGGCGCCCAGCGCCGATCCGAAAGCTCCTCGCGGACATCCGACTGCTTCTGTGATAATGCCGCCGCAGGTTTTCCTCCCTCTGATCGATCCGATCCCGCTGCCGATCCGACTCCGATCCGATGTTCCGGTGCTCCGGTGCGGCCAGAGTTCCGGTGCTCCGGTGCGGCCAGGTGCTCGCACGGGCGATGCTCTGCATCCGCCGCGGCCGACCCGGGCTCGACTTCCTCAGCAGACGCACATTCCGATTCGGTCCAGCTCTCCGATTCCAGGCTGACTGGTGCCGACATCAGGCCTCCGAAGCCCGGGTTGTTTCCGTATGGGTGTCTCACGTGACACATATTTTTGCCTCGGGAGGCCCGTTCGAGGCGCTGCCCATCGAATCGCAACAAGGGGTGAAGCACCGGCCACGTTCAAGTGGTCGGGGTTTCCGTGGGCCCCGTCAAAAGACGCAGCGTTGCAGGTCGGGGACCCTCTCTCCTTCTTTTTCACGGCTTACCAGGCCACACCCCCCCCAGCCCGAAGGCCCCAGATCCGAGGCGGGGATTTCTGAATCACCAACCCCCGGAGGAACGGCTTTGGCCCCCGGGGGCCAGAATATATCCATGTCCAACCGCCCGCCGGGTCCCCAGGAAGACGTTGGCCAGGCGGTGGTCATGATTAAATCCCCGCCTCGCACCAGACCCCTCCAAATTCTTGACCGGTTGCTGCGCTCAGTAGCTAATTAGGTTTGCCCGCCGGCCCGGACAACTCCTCTCGCCGCTTGCGCGCTCGCTGGTGGCTGCGACCAAAAAAAAATCTGAGTATCCCGGTTTCTCGCCGTTGGCGCGCTCGCCTTCGGCTGCTAACAAAAAAAAATATCGGCGTATCCCCCTGGGCGCCCCGCACCCTATGCTCACCCCGGGATTCGGTCTTGCGCTGGCCCTGGAAATGCCCTGGGGTACTGCATTCCGTTCCTCAGCATGGGCGCTCTCGCGCTACCGTTTGCTCCTGCCGCCGTTGGTCACTCCTCGGCTCTGTGGTCTCCTTGCTGCGGGGCATCGGCATCCGACTGGATTGGTTTCGTGCCCCCCGCTGCCAATTCACGTCAAGTACAGGGAGTACTGCAAGGTGTGGACGGTCCTCTTCTTGTTCCACGTCTGAGCCGCGGCTGTTCTTCTCCTTCCCCGTTCTCTGTTCTTGTCTGTCGTCGCCGCCTCTTTTTTCGTCGTGTCCTTTTTGTTTCGTCTTCTTCTGTTGTCTTCGTTCGCTCCCGCCTCCCCCGCGTTGTCGCTACGCGTCGCCTTTTAGTTTTCGTCCCTTTGTGGCCTTTTTTTCCCGCGCCTAGCCGGCGACAGTTGCGCCGTGCTTCCGGCTCTCGTTTGTTGTTCGACCTTTCTGGCGCCGCGCGGGTGCCCGCCTGCGGTCGCGATCTAAAAAATCGGCGTGCCCCCACCAGCCCTAGCTTTTCCCGGCTTTCGACCTGCTTCGCGAGCCCGCGTGCCAACAAAGAAAAGTATCCCCGCCAGCCCATCCAGAAACGATGCCCGTCAGAGTTGCCGGGGGGGAAGAAGAAGAGACGCGCATAGTCAAACAGCGAGGGAGGCTTGGGAGATTCCGTGGCCACGTCGATCCGTCTTGGAGCGGCTTTGGGGCCGTTAGGAGCATCTTGGGGGCCATTTTGAACCCGCTTGGGCTGTCTGAACCATGTTGGCGGTCATCTTGGGCTCTCGGAGGCCGCTCGGGGGCCTCTTGGGGGCCTGCCGGGTGCTTCTTGGAGGCCTCTTTGGGGTTTCTTGGGGCGCTCTTTGGCCTTTTTTGGGGGCCAGTTGGGAACATTGGAGAGCCTGTTGGGGCCGTCTTGGAAGGTTTCCGATCAAAAGAGGGGGTTCCTTTAACTTGGTCCCCCCCTTCGGGGGCCACAATGGTGGGAAAAATGGCCCTCCCAGGGGCCGAACAAGGACGCTCAACCTCGTCGCGGCCCCCCCCGTCCAGGTCCAGGGGAGCGGGTCGGGGGAGGGGTAAACCCGTCCCCGAAAAAAAAGGGAAATACGGTTTGTGGAAGAGGAAAGAGAACCTCCTTAGACCACCTGTCGCCCAAAGGCTGGTGGAATTTCAAGTTGGTTGGTGAGCGTATGGGTTCCAATGGGTTCCATTGTGTCTTCTTCTTGTTCGCGAGTGCCTCCCCGCCGAGAAGTTGACGGGCCCAGCGGCGACTTCGGGCTGGGTGGGGGCGGTTTGGTATTCCAGATTTCGTAACACTGCAGGGCTCGGGTCGACCCACAGGGAGATCCAGCGACGAGGGTGTGGAGCAATAGATCTGGTGCAATCGATTTTTGTGGGTGCAATACATTTGGGCGTCCAATACATTTCGGGGCACAGATGCAATACAATATCCCAATGGACTGCGATATGTTTACAACACTTCAGTTCCATTTGAAATACCGATGGCGCACCTCTTGCAATACAGCGCAATAGGCTTCTCCAGCGCAACACATTTGCAATTCAAGTGCCCCCAACCTATTGTACCACCCCCTTACATCTGCAACCATTTGGGGTCACCCTGAGGGGGGGGGGTCGCAACCCTCCCGGACGAGCAATTTCAGACCCCCCCGCCAGACCCAGCCATGCAATGGCGGCCTCTTGCACAGACCCCCCCGAGAAACGTCCGAGGCAGCTCAAATCAGACCCTCCCCAAGTGTGGCCCCCACCCCACACCGTACCATGAAATCTGGAGCAGGTACTCATCGGGTAGTGAGCCCACCTTCTCAGAGGCAACATAAGGGGAACTTGGCTCAGGGGGGAGGCGTCGACCTCCAGTCGCCCACTGTTCGCCGCTGGGGGCCCGACCGCCCATCCCGCCCAGGGACGCTCGGTTTCGTTGTCGGGGCCCTGTTGCGGATCACTCGGTACGTACCGTCGATTCCCAGCTCGCGCGTCGGGGGCCACAACGGGAGTTCCCCCCAGGCGAAAGCTGCCGGCTAATTCGGAATTCGGGCATGTCACCCTACAGGCGGATTCTGGACGAAACATCAAGCATACTCCTGAGGAGGGACATGTGGTTTTGCAGCCCCCGCCTGCCCGGCCCCAGGAGGGGCCTGTGCATTTGCCCCGCGAGACCTGATGGGAACAGCGCACATCCCCACGTAGGAGGGGCAAGTCTGTCAAATGCCACGCCAGTGTGGGGATAGGCATCGGTCAAAAAATAATCATGCCAAAGTGCTCCCGGAAAGAGTTGAGGAAGACGCTCCTGCATAAGCACAGGCACAATTCTCGCCCTTGGATCCGTGCTGTCGGAACGGGTCGAGGTGGGCTGGAACGGGTTGGAGGAAGAGGAAGAGGAGAGGGAGAGCCGGGAACAGCAGGAGGAGGAGGAGGGAGACGGAATGGGCAAGCCTTGTCGGAGGAGGAGGAGGAGGAGGAGGAGGAGGAGGAGGAGAGGCAGGGGGGGAGTAGGAGGACGGGAAGGGGGGAGGGCGAAGGGGAGGAGGAGGAGGATGAGGAGGAGGAGGAGAGGAGGAGGAGGAGGAGGAGGAGGAGGAAGGAGGGGAAGGGAGGAGGAGGAGAGGGAGAGGAGAAGGAGAGGGAGGGGGAGGAGGGGGAGGAGGAACAGGGGGAGTGGAGGAGGGTAAGGGGAGGAGGAGGAGGGAGGAGGAAGGAGGAGGAGGAGGAGGAGGAGGAGGAGGAGAGGAGGAGGAGGAGGAGGAGGAGGAGGAGGAGGAGGAGGAGCGAGGAGGAGGAGGAGGAGGAGGAGGAGGAGGAGGAGGAGGAGGAGGAGGAGGAGGAGGAGGAGGAGGAGGAGGAGGAGGAGGAGGAGGAGGTGTGAGGAGGGGAGGAGGAGGAGGAGGAGGAGGAGGAGGAGGACGACGAGGAGGAGGAGGAGGGAGGAGGAGGAGGAGGGAGGGGAGGAGGCGGACGAGGAGGGGGGGGAGCAGGAGGAGGAGGAGGAGGAGGAGGAGGAGGAGGAGGAGGAGGGACGACGACGAGAGGGTGAGGAGGGGAGGAGGAGGAGGAGGAGGAGGAGGAGGAGGAGGAGGAGGAGGAGGAGGAGGAGGGAGGAGGAGGAGGAGGGGGAGGGGGAGGAGGAGGAGGAGGGAGGAGGAGGAGGAGGAGGAGGAGGAGGAGGAGGATGGAGGAGGAGAAGGAGGAGGCGGAGGAGGAGGGAAGGGAGGGGGGGGGGGATGAGGAAAGGGGGGGGTGGGCCTGGAGGCTGAGGAAGATTTGGAAGAAAGGGGGGGCAGGAGGAGGGAAGGGGGAGGATGGGGACCAGGAGGATGAGGCGGAGGAGGGAGGGGGGGGGAGGTCGTTCAACCCCTCGGAGGGCCGCGCGGGCGTCGTCGTCGCGGCCAGGCGCCTACACGCCGCCCTCGCGGCTTTCGAGCGGCTCGGGGACGCGGCCGCGGCGGCCGCGGCCCTGCACACGCTCGCGGACGGCCTGTTCGCAGCGGGGGCGCTCGAGGATACCACGGGCAGGGCCGCCCGCGAGCCTGTCCAGTGCGACGCGATTCCCGCGGGCTCCTCATGAAGGAAACCCTACCTGCTCAGCGTCGTGACAAAAATCAGGACGGGATCGGGCGGGTCTGTGACGAGGATGCATCCGCTCCAGAGCGTCCCAGAAGCTCTCGGAGCGTTCTGGAACGCTTTGAGAAGGCCGCGGAGCCCGAGACATCTTCCAGAACCGCCGGATTTCAGAGGTTCTCGATTTACCCTCACCCGATGTTTTCCTCGTCCTGGCTTCGCCTTGCAGGCGGTTCTCGGTAGTTGTGGCCCCCTGGGCGCCCTCGACGTGCCCCAGGGCCGACGCAACTGCCCAGCTTTGGCGCCGCAGACCGCCACACACCGCCGAAGACCGCCAGATACCGCCGAGGACAACCGACGACCGCTGCTGGGCGTTGCCGCTGCCTCTCGGGGCCGCTTGCGCCGCACGGCCTCGTTCTCTTTTCCTCGCGGGCCTGGGGCGGGCTTGCCCGGGGCTCGGACCCGTCCGCGACTTCAGGGGCCAGTTCCAGTCGCAGACGGTTCTCTTGGACCGAAACAAGGTACAGTGGGGGCCCATACCAAGAAGCGCTCTGCTTGCCTCCAAAGCGCCCTGGGCTTCCTGGGTTTCTTGGGCGATGGATTTGCCGCGTAAGGCGCGACGTTCCCACGCCGGAAATCCATCGGCGCCCTGGTGTCTCAGGGTCGGGTTTCTTGTGAATTGTTTCTTGTGTACGGGCCTCCACTGTATTGCACCCCCCCAAAAAAAACACCGACGACCGCCGAAAACCCTCAGGAAACAGCCATCTCCCGCCGAAGACAATCAGAAGACTGCCGAGCGCCGTCAGAAGGCCGCCGAAGAATGCCCAAGGCCGCTGGGCAGCAAGGGGGCCATGGTCGAACACGTGCTTGGCATTGCTCGGACCCGTGGATCTTTCCTCGCCGGTGCTAGCGCCAGGAAATCTGGACCGTCGAGGATCATCTTGCGAACAACACGAAATGAACGACACCTGAAAGTGCGAAGGGGAAAGGGCGTCCGAGCGATGGCGAGCGCAGCACTGCAGGCGGTTCGTCCGATCGGCGGGCAGAGGCGCCCCTTTGGACAGCCGCGAGGACGGGCTCGGCTGCGCGTGGGAGGCGCTGTCCTATCCGGTCGCGCTGCCGCGCATGCAGCCACCACATAGACCCAGCGCCTCGAAGAGGTCGAGGCGGCGGGTTTCGGTAGTCTCGCGTCGTGTCGACCGGCGGCGACCCCGCTGCCGGCATTTCACGCTGAACGCCGCCAGCGTCCCAGAGTCCGTCGATGTTGAACGATTTGACGTTTCGTAAGCGGCCGCTCATTCAAGGCTGAAAGATCCCCACGGTGCCATAAACCAAAGCCGCAGTCGGCACGACACGAACTTGTCGTACGGAAAGAGTGAGGACGAAGGCTGACAGCTGCCATGTTGAACAGAACCCGCTGTCGGCGTCGCCGCGGGCGCGTTGACCATTTGAGACGGAAAGTTGCTTGCCCAACAGCGGTTGCAATCGATTGTAGACATCATGTGTTGTTGGTTGTGTGCCCATGTTTGCCGTATCGATCGCGAGCGTGCCCAGGTTTTGTCGAATATGTTATTGTTTGGTGGGCGGCTTTGGAATCAAATTGTAAGGGGACAGCACGAGATGAAAAAGGCGGTGTCCTCCTCCGAGTCGAGCGTTCCAGGGGCCCGCGAGTCGAAAACATCGGTGCAACTGAAGTCTGTGACTGCGGTACAAGGGGAGCGATGAGGGCAAAGTGGCGGGGTTGGGAGAGGGCTGCATACCTCCAGCGCCGTCTTTCTCGTGCTTTTGTGATAGTTGTTTTACTCATTGGTTTGCCGATCGGCGCGGGCCCTCGCACCCCCCCGCCACCCTCCCCCCTTGGAGTGGATCTTGTCTGTTTTTGGCGCCTGTTTTGAGCAGGTGGGGCCCCTCCCCCGTAGGACGCACTGTCGCAAACAGTCGCACTAAGCATCCAGAGCCAGAACCCCCCCCTCTCCCCGTCCTCTCTGCCCAATGTCGAATCGCCGAATGAAAAACTCTCACTTTTTCTCCCACGCGTGCAATGCTTGCACTGCGAGTTTCGTACTGAAGCGTTGACTGATCATCCTGCTGTGCTGGGTGTTCTCTGGCTGGGCGCCTGTGCAAAGCATTGGTGAATCGTCTTGACCTGCCGGCAGGTCCACCACATAATGTTCTAAGGCCAGTCTGTGGTTTGCACAACATGTTTCTAGACCATGTCTATACGAGACAATTCTGCAATATCCCACCAGCTTTTTATGTTCTAAGATCACTGCCCTTGTCATTCGAACAGCCACGTGTCCCGAGCGCACCTCGTGCAAGGTTTACAGGAACTCCGGGGCGGCCTGTCCCTGCTCAACCTTGAGCGCCTCGTGGGCGCTCGGTGCGAAGGCTGATGCTTCCCTGGTCTTCCCCCCAGAGGGCGGCGCCTCGCATGCGCCCTGGGCGCTTGCTGGTTTCGCTGGACGCGCGTATAGTTTCTCTCGTGTACAGAGTAGCGCGTTTTTCCCGAGTGCCGAGACTGGAAGTACCCCCCCTCGCGCATTCGTTTCTCAAGTTTCTTGGGTACGGTCGTTTATCCGACATATGAATTCGTACCATTTTTCGTGGGCGATTAATAGCCGTAGCCGCGGCCTCGCGGGCCGGGCCCCGTGACCGCGACCCCGCGGATACGGGGCATGTCTTTCGCGGAGGCCTCGCGCGAAACGCGTATCCGCGGGGTCGCGCCCAGGAATCCAGACTTCGAGGGCACGGATAGGGCGATGTTTGCCGCTCCTGGAGTCCAGCCAGGCTGTTGTTGCCCCCCCTCCTTCCCCGTCACACGTTTCTACGCGGATCTCTCGCTTTGATATCATGTGTGTGTGTTCACTGCGTCCTTACTTACGGGCAACACGCGCGCACATGTCACACACTCGATCAAACACCAGTGTTCGCGAAATTGTGTAAGGTATCCGTGCGCGTGAGCTCCCTGAAACTATGACAAGAATAGCGCTTGTGTTGCCAATTGAGCAAATTGGACCATGCGCGCCACGCGCACGCATCATGCCGAACTCGTTCAAACATCATCGCGCATCCGTCAAAACTTTGGCAAACAGTAGCATGCGGGCCATACGATCGCGTCCCTGCGCGCGCATGTAGAGATCATGGTGAAACCATTGGTGGCACAAGCATCTCTAGATGAGGTCTTCCGAACTATCTGAAGACCACCTAGGCGCCCACAGGAGGCCCCCAAGAGCTTGTAAACATGCTACGTAGGCGCCGCACTGCCCACGAACGCACACGTAAACGCCAACGGTGGTACAATTCGGGCCGGCGGAATGAGCGAAGCGATCAAATGAAACCCCAAAGCATTCCAACGGTATTACCCGCGCAGTCTTCCTCTGCATGCTCATCATCACCATCGTGTTCAGCATCTTTTGCGTCATCATTGCCATTGCAAACATACTCATCATCTTCATCAGGACTATCAGCTTCGCCGTCATGGTCACCTCCATGGTCGGAGTGAGGGGGCCGAACGGTTTTTCACTGTCCCTGGTGCGTGGCTGAAGTGGGATTCCGCTATGCGGATTCTTGTTGTTGTCCTGGAACTCTCACTGTTGAAGAACAATTCTTGTTGATCCCCCCTCTGGTGACGATTGTGTGTTTTCATCGAAGACGCCTACGGCGAATCACCGCCGCCCCCTGCCTTTTTGGAAACGCCTATGTGGCCGAACGTCGTGGCCAGAGGCCTGCCAAGCTATCGGACCATGTGTTCCCCGAATCGGTTTGGAAAGCGTTCGGGGAACACGGTGGGCGAGGCTGGGCCGACTTGGGCCTTTCTTGGGGTGTTCCAGGAACGTCTTAGAGGCCATCTTGAGCGTCTTGTCGCGAGGTGGATCGCGGGAGGGTCGCCGTCCGAGTCGCGGGGGGGGACGACGTTTAACAACAAACAATAATAAGCAAACACCTTAACAAAACAACAGACAAGCAATTTACAGCAACAACAACAACAACAGAACCAACACCGATAACGACAACAACAACTACACCAACAGCAATCATTTTAAGACTGTTCGCTCTGATCTGCTCGAATGTCATTCAGCGTGTATGTCCAAATCCCTCGTTAACTGCCGCTTCGCCTTCGATTGACACCTTTTTTGGGGGGTATATTTTTCTTCCCTGCAGGCCAGAAGCGGCGGGGCGGCCGCGGACCGTCGGCCTGGCCAGCGGCAGCGCTGATCGGCGGCAACCCGACCCCAAGAGTAACGGACAGGGGGCCGACCACCACGACGACGACGAGCGAAAGCGGGAGCGAGAGCGAGAGCGACAGCGGGGCCACGAAGGGCAGGAAGGGAGCCACAAAGGGCATGCGCATGGGGCCACGCAGGGCGCGAACGAGCGGGGGCCACGAAGGGCAGATAATGTGAGGCCACAGAGGACAGCGAGGGAGCCGCAGCGGGCGACAGCGGGGCCACGAAACGCATGCATATAGGCCACGACGGGCGCGAACGAGCGGGGGTCACGAAGGGCAGAGAGGGGGCTGCGAGGGGGCTACGGAGGGCTGCGAGGGGGCCACGAAGGGCTGCAACGGGGGGCCACGAAGGGCTGCAACGGGGCCACGAACGGCAGCGAGGGGGCCAGAAAGGGCTGCAACGGGGCCACGAAGGGTAGCGAAGGGGCCACGAAAGGCTGCAACGGGGCCACGAAGGGCTGCAACGGTGGGCCACGAAGGGCTGCAACGGGGCCACGAACGGCAGCGAGGGGGCCACAAAGGGTTGCAACGGGGCCACGAAAGGGTAGCGAAGGGGCCACGAACGGCTGCAACGGGGCCACGAAGGGCAGCGAGACCACGATTCCTAGGTAAACTGCGAGGGGGTCCTCAGCTTGAGCGTGATCCCTGGGTGCATGAGTGTGGGGAGCGCGGCGTTTCAGTAAATTGCGGGGAATTCCAACGCAAGGGCGCGATCCTTGAGTACATTG